AACACATGAGCGCTTTAACAACACCAGAGTCGTGACATGACACGATCACTGCCCTCCTTTTCCTGTTTTAAATCCCGTTTCTCCTGGAAACACGCGTGACGTTGAATCAATTAATGGCGTGTGAGGTGTGTTTCATGGTGACTTTACACGGCAGGGCTGCCGGTGTGTTACGCATCTCCACGGATAAAGTCATTAAGATGTTGTGGGATGTGTGTGTGAGCGCGGATCCGACTGTTCCCCGGCCAATTAGCTCCGGGCTAACGTTAGACCGTCCTGGAAAACAGGCTTTTTCTCCTCAGAGTTTATGAAAGTTCTTCATTTATAAGACAGACGGAATGACGTTTTTTTTTTCTTTCCTTCCTCATTGTTCGCGTCAGACAAAAGCGTCTCCGGCTCAATCACTCTTATTTCTCCTGGTCTTTTCTTTCTTTCTTTCTCGGGCCACGGCTCCTCGCGAACTCTCACAGCGAGAGCGTTTTTGATTGGTGCCACAATGTGAGAATTGGCTTGTCTACATTGACATTTGAGAGCCGCCGCCGGGCCCGCGACCTCGCGAGTTTTATTAGCAAATGAGACCTGGAGGGCCTGAGTTTAAAGAGCTGCCCCTTCGTTCCGATTTCAACCACATAATGATTTTCACAGGGTTCAGGACCTGAGTGAGAACAGAATAATGAGCGCCAGTCATTACTGGGATTACAACCCCGCTCACACCGTCGCTCCGAGCGCGTAATGAATGTGATGCCTATAGACTTTGATGATTAGCGTCAGACGGTGTGTGTGTGTGTGTCTGTGGAGGAACGCACACACACACACACACACACACATAAATAGTTAAATGAACAACAGTAGCCCTGATCATAACTCCTCTTGACGTGCATCGGTCAAGATCAGGGCTGATGCTGTTCATTTAACTATTTATGTGTGTATACTGTACATATTTGCATTACTTGAAATAAAATAAACATTAGATACATTTAAATACAATTTATAAAAATGTATATAAAATAATATATCTATATAAATATATGTAAAGTAATATATCTATATAAAATATGTATATTTAAGCATATATGAAGAGTTCAGATGCAAAAGCCTCTAAATGCCATTTGAAATGAATGACCATTTTTAACAAGCTTGTGTATTTAAGTTCAGTAATTTCACTTAAATGACAATTAATAGGTAATCTTCATTGCAATTTAAGTGAAATTACTGAACTTAAATATACAAGCTTGATAAAAATTATAATTTTAGAAGAAAATTTCAAATGGCACTTAGAGGCTTTTGCATCTGAACTCTTCATATATTCATTACTTGAAATAAAATAAACATTCAAATAAAATAGGAATATAATATAAATTAATACAATATTAAATATTAATGTGTATATAATAATTATTAAATATTAATGTATATAATAATTTAGCATATATATATGCTAAATTATTATATACATTAATATTTAATATTTTATTAATTTTATTATATATTTTATTTATATATATATATATATTTTTTTTATATATATATATATATAATGTTAAATAAATTTTATTTGTTTTAAATAGTTTTTTATTTATTTTTAAATCATTCATTTTAATTTGTTAATTTTATTTAATTCATCAACTGCAGTTTCTTCAAAAACCATGCTTTAAGTTGGATAAATTTAATTTAATAAATAAATATAATTTAATAATTGGATAAATTAAAATATGTGTTTATTTATTCATTTAGCTTTTGACAATCTAAATGCATTGCACAAGACATTAATAATATAGATATGCATATGAATAATGCAGTACGCTGGTATCTGATGACATTACCACAGTAAAACTACAGTGTTTTATTTTAGGAAAAAAAATAGGAATATAATATAAATTAATAAAATATTAAATATTAATATATATAATAATTTAGCATATATATATAATGTTAAATAAATGTTATTTGTTTTAAATAGTTTTTTATTTATTTTTAAATCATTCATGGTAATTTGTTACATTTTTATGATTTCATTCATCAACCATGCTTTAAGTTTAATCAATTTAATAAATAAATATAATTGAATAATTGAATAAATTAAAATATTTGTTTATTTATTCATTTGACAATCTAAATGCATTGCATGAATCATGCATTACGGTGGTATCTGATGACATTACCTCAGTAAAACTACAGTGTTTTATTTCAGGATTCGGATGTTCAAGTCCATAATGTTTGATTTGAAACCACATTGATAAACCACTGTGACTTTAAATCAAGTTCTGGTTATTAATACGCCCCAGATGTGTTTATTTCCGTCTCTCGTTATGAAGACATCTCCTGCACATGTGGAACTTCTCCTCATAATAATGTTGTGTGATGCCCGGCTTGTCCGAGACTCTTTTTAATTAGCTCTGCCATTAGCGTGACAAGCTCCCGGTATCCCAGCATGCTCTAATGAAGCATCAGGTGCCACGCCGCTCGAAATAAACCCGCGGACCGCCGCTTCTCTGAGTAAATTAGCGGCAGGTAATGGTTTCACCTTGTCAGAGCTGTGGGGAGTTTCTCTGAGATCCGCTAGCGTTAGCGGCTTCAGACGCTCAGATCACACCAGCAGATCGCCATGGTAATTTGTAAGGAATCGGTAGACAAGGCAAGCTCAGATTAAAGTAATGATTTCATATGCTCTTCATACAATATTTTGAGTTTGGCAGCGGATCCGTGGCACATGCTAATCTGTTCCGCCGCTCATCTGCACAAACACTCAACTAAACGACACGCGGTACCGAGTCCTCACAGTCTCCAAACTAACAAACACTGTATGTGATCTTCATGCTAACAACATGCTAAAACATGCTAGCAATGTGCTAAAACATGTTATGTTAGAAACATGCTAGCAATGTTTTAAATCATGATAGCAACATGCTAGCAATGTGTTAAATCATGTTATAAACATGCTAGCAACATGTTAAAACATGATAACAATGTGTTATATTATGTTAGAAACATGCCAGCAATGTGTTATATTATGTTAGAAACATGCCAGCAATGTGTTAAATTATGTTAGAAACATGCTAGCAACATGTTAAAACGTGTTTTATGTTATAACATATTAGCAATGTTGCTAGCATTTTAAAACATGCTAGAAATTTGCTGAAAACATGTTTATAAAGCGTTAAATCATGTTAAACATGCTAGCAACATGTTAAAACATGATAACAATGTGTTATATTATGTTAGAAACATGCCAGCAATGTGTTAAATTATGTTATAAACATGCTAGCAACATGTTAAAACATGACAACAACGAGTTTTATTGTTAGAAACATGCTAGTAACATATTAAAACGTGCCCGGCTTGTCCGAGACAATTATGTCAATTATGTTCAATTATGTTATAAACATGCTAGCAACATGTTAAAACATGATAACGTGTTTTATGTTATAAACATGTTAGCAACCCAGACAGCAAACTGACATTGAATCAACGTGGAAACGACGTCTCTCATGACATTGAAACAACGTTGATTTGCTCATCGAATTAACGTTGAACCAACGTCAGGCGCGGCATTCTTCAAAGCTAAATGAAAATCGAAAATTGGTTTGCTTTCATAACGTTGAAACAACGCGTTGATTTCAAGTTGATTTTCCGTTAGTTTTGAAAGAATGACGCGTCTGACGTTGGTTCAACGTTAATTCGATGAGCAAAACAATGTCAGATCAACGTTGTTTCGATGTCATATTTCCACATTGATTCAATGTCAGTTTGCTATCTGGGAATGTTGCTAGCATTTTAAAACATGCTAGAAATTTGCTGAAAACATGTTTATAAAGCGTTAAATCATGTTAAACATGCTAGCAACATGCTAAAAATTGGCTAGCTAATGCACCGTGTCAAAATATGGCCTATCATGCTAGCTGATACATTAATAGTTGAGAGTAGTTTTACAGTGTGTGTTTGGCGGTGTATCTGTGATCTGCGGTTTTGAAATCTAAAAATGTCTTTACATATGTGACCTTAGCAGGTGTGTGGGGTCGTCGCCTCTCGTCCAATCAGATCTGAGCTTGTTGAAGTGCTAATAAACACAGACCCGCTGGCCTCTCTGAGACACTCGAGCTCCGCGGCTAATTGGGCCGAACGCGCTATTGTTGAGGAGGTGAAACCCTCGTGTGTTCGCCGCAAGAAGACACACTCGTTATGATTCGCCGCCGGAGACGGTGGATAATTATTCTGGCGGACAGGAAGTGGTCGTTACACAGAAGTGATTAACGCAGCTCTACATCACATCAGTTTTGCTGGAAAACATGCGAGAGTTAAGAACTAATTAAAGAATGAACGAGAGGGTTCGGTTTATTGAAGATATATATATATATATATTATTCAATTTTCATTTAGTACACTGCAAAAAAGAGTGTGTGTGTGTGTGTGTGTGTAATGGTGAGTCAGTATGTGTTGATTTGGCATCCGCCTGATTGAAACAGATCTACATTTATTAGCAATGCTAATTAAGATGAATCAAGCTGCTCCTGTAATGAAGTGGCTCCTCTTTAATCAATTACCGTCACTGCAGTGATTTCTACATGTTGATAAACACACTAATGTATTCCATATGTCTCATAAACACATCAGTGTGTGACGGACGGACACACTCATCACGAGCTGTGTTTACATGAGATGAGAATGCGACCGTAAAGACATTTATAATGTTACAAAAAAAAATTATTATATTTCTATTCATCAATGAATCCTGAAAATGATTGGTCCACGACTCTTTTACCAGTTTCAATTTGTTGATCATCAGATCCTCATATTAGACTGATTTATGAAGGGTCATGTGACTCTGAAGACTGGAGTAATGATGATAAATTCAGCTTTGATTAAATTCCACTTTACTGTATATTCACATAGAGAACTGATGATTTACATTATAATAATATTTCACTATTTTTACTGTATTAACTTAAACACACACTCATACTCACACACTGATCTACCACGGTCTACTCTGGTGTTGTCCACAGGCTCGGCGTTCATGATGGTGAACTCCTCGGGTCGGTTCGCGGGTCAGAAGGCTTTACTCTTCACTCCGCAGCTGAAAGAGAACGACACACACTGCGTGATATTCCAGTTCTACGTTGAGGGTCGAGAAGGCGGCAGACCTGGACATCTGAACATCTACATCAAGGAGAACAACAGCCCGATGGGTCTACCGGTGTGGAACACGTCTGGACCCGCCACACACTCCTGGAGCCAGGTGGAGCTCGCCATCAGCACTTACTGGCCCAACTACTACCAGGTGAACTGTGTGTGTGTGTGTGTGTGTTTGTGAGTCATTGAGTGAATGAGTGACTCAGTGAGTCAGTGAGTGAGTGAATCAATGAGTGAGTGAGTCAGTGAGTGAGTCTGTGAGTGTGTGTGAGTGTGTCAGTGATTGAGTTAGTGTGTGTGTGTGTGTGTGTGTGTGTGTGTGTGTGAGTGTGTGAGTCAGTGAGTGAGTCAGTAAGTCAGTGAGTCATTCAGTCAGTGAGTGAGTGAGTCATTGATTCATTGAGTCAGTAAGTTAGTGAGTCAGTGAGTGAGTCAGTAAGTCAGTGAGTGAGTGAGTGAGTCAGTGAGTGATTCAGTGACTGAGTGAGTGAGTCATTGACACATTGAGTCAGTGTGTGAGTGAGTCAGTGTGTGAGTCAGTGTGTGAGTGAGTGAGTCAGTGAGTGAGTTAGTGAGTGAGTCAGTGAGTGTGTGAGTGAGTGAGTCAGTCATTGAGTCAGTGAGTGAGTGAGTCAGTGAGTGTGTGAGTGAGTCAGTCATTTAGTTATTTAGTCAGTGAGTCATTGAATCAGTGAGTTAGTGAGTGAGTGAGTCGGTGAGTCAGTGAGTGAGTGAGTCAGTGAGTGAGTGAGTCAGTGAGTGAGTGAGTCAGTAAGTCATTGAGTTAGTGAGTGAGTGAGTTAGTGAGTCAGTGAGTGAGTCTGTGAGTGTGTGTGAGTGTGTCAGTGATTGAGTTAGTGTGTGTGTGTATGTGTGTGTGAGAGTGTGTGAGTCAGTGAATCATTCAGTCAGTGAGTGAGTGAGTCATTGGGTCATTGAGTCAGTGAGTTAGTGAGTGAGTCAGTGAGTGAGTGAGTGAGTGAGTGAGTCATTGAGTGAGTGAGTGAGTGAGTCAGTAAGTCAGTGAGTTATTTAGTCAGTGAGTCATTGAATCAGTGAGTTAGTGAGTGAGTGAGTGAGTGAGTCGGTGAGTCAGTGAGTGAGTGAGACAGTGAGTGAGTCAGTGAGTCATTGAGTGAGTCAGTAAGTCAGTGAGTGTGTGAGTCGTTGAGTCAGTGAGTGAGTCAGTGAGTGAGTGAGTGAGTGAGTGAGTCAGTGAGTGATTCAGTGACTGAGTGAGTGAGTCATTGACACATTGAGTCAGTGTGTGAGTGAGTCAGTGTGTGAGTGAGTGAGTCAGTGAGTGAGTTAGTGAGTGAGTCAGTGAGTGTGTGAGTGAGTGAGTCAGTCATTGAGTCAGTGAGTGAGTGAGTCAGTGAGTGTGTGAGTGAGTCAGTCATTGAGTCAGTGAGTGTGTGAGTGAGTCAGTGAGTGAGTGAGTGAGTCAGTGAGTGAGTTAGTGAGTGAGTCAGTGAGTGAGTGAGTCAGTGAGTGAGTGAGTGAGTCAGTGAGTGAGTGAGTGAGTCAGTGAGTGAGTTAGTGAGTGAGTCAGTGAGTGTGTGAGTGAGTCAGTGAGTGAGTGAGTGAGTCAGTGAGTGAGTTAGTGAGTGAGTCAGTGAGTGAGTGAGTCAGTCATTGAGTCAGTGAGTGAGTGAGTCAGTGAGTGTGTGAGTGAGTGAGTCAGTCATTGAGTCAGTGAGTGAGTGAGTCAGTGAGTGAGTGAGTGAGTGAGTCAGTGAGTCAATGAACCAGATGTGTGTGTTTGTTTGTGTGTGTGTGTGCTCAGATACATGTTATTTTCTGTCACCTGCCCATCAGTTTCAGGTGAATGTAATGAAAATCTGCCCCCTATTAAAGAGAAACAGAGAATCATCTTTCTGCTGCTTGTTTTCCACATGTGCTGTGAGCCTATAGAGAGAGAGTGTGTGTCAGTGTGTGTGTGTGTGTGAGCCTGAAGAGAGACGGTCTGATTTCACACATGCTGGTCATTAGTGACCCGTCCTCATGGGTGCTGACGGAGCCCCGTGTTAATTGGTGGAACGAGCCCCCGTGACCCCGCGCAGGGAACGCGTGCTTTGGTAAATTACTCCATTAGAGCGACAGCGAGAGGTTACGACGAGACCCTGATTAGATGCTTTAGAGGAACACACACACACACACACACACACACACCAAACCCTGCAGCACATCATCATATCATTTGTAAAGTTTCATCATGACGTGTGGAGAAGTGCGGATTTTAAACGGGCATCTGTCAGATTATTCATGCTTTGCTGAACTTTTTGATTGCATTAGAGGAATAAATTAGGCAATAATTAAAATTAATTTACTTATTAGCTCTAATGACTTTCCAAACCTGTGAAGCTGCGAACACTGTCCTAACCAGACGAAACTCACACACAATTAAAAAAAATTATCGTGTTAATCAGCCGGAACGAACAGAGGAGTGTAATCGGTTTCTATTTCTGTGACATCGCAGCTGGAGATACAAACAAACATGACAATGATCATCTTAAGAACTAATTATGAGCTCTTATTTCATCTTAGAAAGTCTAAAGTCAGTTTTAGTCAAACCGAAAGCAACAATAGATCATTCATCTCAGATCTTAGAAATGTGTTTATATTTTTAAGGTTTATACGTTTAAACTGCATGTAAAATTTCTTTTTTACGTAATTTATTTTTATTGACATTCAATATCATTCATATTTCATATACTGAATAAATTTAAGGAAACTGTTTATTCAATGATAAAGACAGTTTCATTCACTCACTGTGCATTGTTAATATTGTTAAAATGGTTTAATATTTATAAATTAAGTGTAGTAATGCAAATGCCGTGCGCTTGCAGAGAGACTCCGCCCATACGCTCTTCTGATTGGCTGTGATTTGTGATTGATTGGTTGTGAGAGCGGTGTGCTTTCAGAGAGACTCCGCCCACACGCTCTTCTGATTGGCTGTGATTTGTGATTGATTGGTTGTGAGTGCAGTGGCTAGCAGAGAGACTCCGCCCACAGGCTCTTCTGATTGGCTGTGACTTGTGATTGATTTTGTCTTGTCTTGTTTTTGAATAGTTTCTGCTGTGGACAGCAATTGCTTGTCACTACAGTCTTAATCTGGTTAGGAAACGGTGTAAAACAGCATCACAGAAACACACACACACACACTGTGAGTCTCAGATTAGCAGCAGTGCTGAATACCGTGGTAAACTGAGAGCAGACGTGGTTTTAACCTCAGACGCCTGAAATATCTTGTGTTTAAGCATCAGCACTTTTGTCATTCCGACTGTGGGAGCGGTTTAGCAGGAGCATCCCAACATTTCTGGCATGGGTTGAGTTTAACTGTATATATATATATATAAATAAGGAGTATATTACAGGAGCCGTCATGTGTTTGCTGAGATTATTGGTGTGTGTGTGTGTGTGTGTGTGTGTGAGGTTATTTCTGTGCCGTCTGCGTTGAGGAATGATGAGGAATTGCTCTGCTAGTTTGATGTGGAACTTGCATGTGTTATTAAGGCTCTTAAAAAGATTCCACATGCATCGCTCTGTGTGATAAGAATAGAGCGAGTGTGTGTCTAATTAGCGACGTCAGGATAATTATTGGTCGCATTAATTGCACAGTATCGTAAGTGATCATCAAAATGAAACCACCTGGTGCTTTGGACATTATTTTATAATTATAGGCTCGATTTGATGTGTTTCCTCTCTAGAAAGATGCGGTTGTAACCTCTGTGCAGATCGGGTCAGCCATCACAGCTTCTCATTGGTTGTGTGACAGACATTTAGTTTTTATGTGTTTCTCTTTTTTTGTCATATCATTTCTGTTGTTGCAAACTACACCATAAACAACCCTATCCAGCCCCATAACAGCAATCCAGGAGATCTGGAAAAAAAAATTAATGATTAAAAATAAATTTTTTATATATATATATATATATATATATATAAAATAAAAAAATATATAAAATAATAAATAAAATTAAACTTAAAAAAAATATATAAATAAAATAAATATATAAAAAGTAAAATTATTTATATATATATATATATATAAAATAAATTAAATTAAAATTAATAATATATAAAAATTATATGTATGTATGTATATATATATATATATATATATATATATATATTGCATGTTGATTCAGTGTTCATGTATCTGTGCTTGAATTTATATATATATATATATATATATATATATATATATATAATGTTTTACATATTTTTTTATTTTAATTTTATATATATAATAAAGATTAAATAAAAATGTATAAATATATGTGTAATTATATATATAATATATATATAAATGTATAATATATATATAATAATATATATATATAAATATAAATATATATATATATATATATGTGTGTGTGTGTGTGTGTGTGTGTGTGTGAAATAAAATTAATAAATAAAAAATAAAATAATAAATAAAATAAAAATTAAAAACATCTAAAATTTCAAAATTTCTCAAGCACAGATACATGAACACTGAATCAACATGCAGTAATGCTACATCTCTCTAAATGTCATAATCATGTTTTAATAAAGAAGTGTACATTACTTCAATGAGCTCACTGTTTCTGCATTAAACCATTACATTGTTTAAATGAGTAATTCTTGAGCTAACCGTTATTTTGTATATGTACATTTCTGAAACACATAACTCAGTTTCCTCTGATGATCTTTATTTGATATAATGTTTTATAATGATTATGAAAACCTTTTCACAATATTCTAATTTTGAATTTGAATAAAGATTTGAAATATCTCATTCGGCATGTAATGAGTCTATATAATATATTATAGTTTCACCTTTTAAGTTGAATTACTGAAATAAATGAACATTTGCAGGATAATTGTAACACCTTGATGTCATCGTCCAGCTCAGTTCATGTAATGGTGTCAAAGCAGTTCAATAATATTGTCGAATATGAAATGAAATCTGATTTTCTGATTTCTCATGTCTGTTCCCTCCTTTCATCTCCTCTCTTCTCTTCAGATCAAACATTTAGTCTCATCTCATCAGCCGTTGTGTCTCCTCTCTCGTCCAGGTCTCGTGTGAGTGTGTGTGTGTGTGTGTGTGTGATATTATGGGATGTTTGGAGAGCCGCACCCAGTTCCTGTCGTTCCTGTCCTTCATCTGAGCTCATGTTCCTCTGTCCCGCTCAGATCGCTCAGTCATATCTGTTAATATGTTGTAATTTATGGATTATTAGGAATGTTTATGTTGGTTTGGGGACGGCGGTGAGTACCAGACACACTTCACCAAATATCTTTACATTCAAACTGCAGTTCAGTCCCTGTGAAACCTAGAAATGTCAAGAAATCATTATTTCTCGTCCATTTAACGTTAATGAAACCGATTATAACTTCAGATCATTCTGTCATCATGACTTCACTTCAACATTGGACCCCATTGAATTGCATTGACCCCAAAAAATGTTCTTTAATGTCTCTGAGGTCTGAAAGGGAGTGATTAAAGGTTTTTAATCAAGTGAATCCACATTTGGGTGCCGACGTCAGACTACTGTATATATTAGGGTATATTTCATCCGAGCCGCTTTTGACTGTCGGTCAGCAGCCGGTCCAGGTCAGCGTGACCGTGATGTTGCAGAACCGGCTCCAGGGACGCCTGTCAAACCTCTCGCGCGCTGAATATGCATCATAATAGAAAGCTTAGCAAAGAGCATGTATCCCAGAATCCTTCACTCTGCCCGTCTTTAGCCCTGACCCCCAGAGTCTGGCTGTCGAGTTGAATTGTTTGGCTGTATAAACCGAGCAGATTTAGCACATGCTGCCGCAGCATCTCGCTGATAGAGACGTGATTTACCACATCTATAAAGTCTGCAATCTGACAGACAGCCGATTCACCACGGGCACCCTTGGAGCCTGATCCCGCTCGCCCGCTGATTCTCAGGTTCAATCACTAAAGCCAAATGGTGTTTTAATGAGCAGCGTAAATGGTGTTTTCCTCATCTTCGTAATCTCCTCTGAAACGGGAAGATAAGGCGGGGCTTATTTAATGGCTCCTCCCCCCTTTCAAATAGCCAATAGCGTTTAGTTTACCCCAGCACCTTGGAAGCGAATCCGAGCGCTGATGATTTAATAGTATAAATTCAAGCCATTTTTGACTCTGGATCATAAACCCAGTCAAGAGTCGCACGGCAATAGCCAACAATACATTGTATGAGTCAAAATGATCCATTTTTCTTTTACGCCAAAAATCTAAAAAAGGATATTTAGTAAATTTACGATTGTAAATTTATAAAAAAAATGCTTTTTTGAGTGGATGCAGCAAAATCGCGAACTTTAAAGGCAATTTCCTCAATGTTTCGATTTTTTTGCGTCCTTTTTTTTATTATTGTCAATTTTTGTCCTATCCTAACAAACCACGCATCACTGGAAAGCTTCTTCATCCAGCTTTCAGATGATGTATAAATCTAAATTTCCACAAATTGACCCTTGTGACTGGTTTTGTGGTCTAGGGTCACATTAAACGGAATAAAACTAAAGCGTTTAGAACACACACGTCTCCAACCCATAATGCTCTGTGACGTGTCCGTTACAGCAGAGGGGGCGGAGCTTCAGAATCTACAGAGCATTTGATTGGACAGAAGATGTGATGAGAAGCGGTGATGTCATAACAATCCCTGATCCAGGATTTGAATGCTTGAATCTCCTAAATGTGAAGTTTGTCATTGTTTTGGAACATATCGGCTAATTTATAACCTTAAGGCGAACATATTAATACTAAAAGCTACAAAAACGTATTTTGATATCAGGGGGTCTTTATTGACCCCATACGCCCATGATTCAACACGTTCAGCCCAATCACTAAAGCCAGAATGGTGTTTTAATGAGCACTAATGACCAGTGTGAATGGTGTTTTCCTCATCTTCGTGGTCGTTGTTTAAACCCTCACCTTGGCTCCTGCGGGACACCTCAGTGCCGGTGTGTGTGTGTGTTTGTGTGTGACATTTTGAGAGCGTGTCCATTTATCACTGTGGTTATGAGCTTTCTCTTTCCTCCGCAGATCGTCTTTGAAGTGGTGACCTCCGGGCAGAGAGGCTTTCTCGCCATCAAGGACGTCGTTCTCCAGGGCCATCAGTGCAGTAAGACCCGTTTCTCTATCTCTCCATCTCTCCGTCGTAAAGCCAGCCTCATCACCCGCTCCTTGGCCTTTTCCTGCCAGCCTCCCAACATCAATATCGTCTCCAGTTTCTCCAGGCATTGGCGAGTCATAAAAGAGAGCGTAATAACGAAAACAAAAGAGAGAAGATGGCGATAAAGCAGGAGAGAGATCACCGTGTGAAAGAGACACCGCTACAGGAGACGAGGATGAAAGGGTCAACTGGGATTCTGCTGAGATAGATAGATAGATAGATAGATAGATAGATAGATAGATAGATAGATAGATAGATAGATAGATAGATAGATAGATAGATAGATAGATAGATAGATAGATAGATAGACAGACAACTGTAACACACTCCTGTAAAACACTACTGTAACACACTACTGTAACACACTACCGTAAAACACTACCGTAACACACTACTGTAACACACTACTGTAACACACTACCGTAAAACACTACCGTAACACACTACTGTAACATACTACTGTAAAACACTACCGTAAAACACTACCGTAACACACTACTGTAACACACTACTGTAAAACACTACCGCAACACACTACCATAACACACTACTGTAACACACTACTGTAACACACTACCGTAAAACACTACCGTAACACACTACCATAACACACTACTGTAACACACTACTGTAAAACACTACCGTAAAACACTACCGTAACACACTACTGTAACACACTACTGTAAAACACTACTGTAACACACTACCGTAAAACACTACCGTAACACACTACCATAACACACTACCGTAACACACTACAGTAAAACACTACCGTAACACACTACCGTAACACACTACCATAACACACTACCGTAACACACTACAGTAAAACACTACCGTAACACACTACCGTAACACACTACCGTAACACACTACCGTAACACACTACTGTAACACACTACCGTAACACACTACTGTAACACACTACCGTAACACACTACAGTAAAACACTACCGTAACACACTACCGTAACACACTACCGTAACACACTAGTGTAACACACTACTGTAACGCACTACTGTAACACACTACTGTAACGCACTACTGTAACACACTACTGTAACACACTACTGCTAAACACTACTGCTAAACACTACTGTAAAACACTACCGTAACACACTACCGTAACACACTACTGTAACACACTACTGTAACACACTACTGTAACGCACTACTGTAACACACTACTGTAACGCACTACTGTAACACACTACTGTAACACACTACTGCTAAACACTACTGCTAAACACTACTGTAAAACACTACCGTAACACACTACCGTAACACACTACTGTAACACACTACTGTAACACACTACCAAACACACTACTGTAACACACTACTGTAACACACTACTGTAAAAGACTACTGTAACACACTACCGTAACACACTACCGTAACACACTACTGTAACACACTACTGTAAAACACTACTGTTAAACACTACCGTTAAACACTACCGTAACACACTACTGTAACACACTAACACACTACTGTAACACACTACCGTAACACACTATTGTAACACACTACCGTAACACACTACTGTAACACACTACTGTAACACACTACCGTAACACACTACTGTTAAACACTACAGTAACACACTACCGTAACACACTACTGTTAAACACTACCGTAACACACTACCGTAACACACTACCGTAAAACACTACCGTAAAACACTACCGTAAAACACTACCGTAACATACTACTGTTAAACACTACAGTAACACACTACTGTTAAACACTACTGTAACACACTACTATTAAACACTACAGTAACACACTACTGTAAAACACTACCGTAACACACTACTGTTAAACACTACCGTAACACACTACTGCAACATAAAGGCGCTTCCCTTCAGATGCGACTGATGAAACACTGAAGAGTGCGAGGAGGAAGAGGAGGAAGAGGAGTGCAGAGAGACTGAAATTACATTAGCAGAGTCTCTTCGTTCACGTCGAGGTCACTCGACTCGTCATAACTTCATTTAAATCATCTTTCATCTCACAGATGCTTCTGGTTTTAAATGCATATTGACCCAGTTATGCGAGCGCTTTGTTGTTGGAGACTAATGAGAACACACCGCAACTTTAATCAATAGAGTTAAGGTTAGTGGTTTAGGGGAATATTATTAGCTGTGCGCAGATTAAATGAGAAACCAATATTGATTTTTTTATTTTTTTTACTCGTTCTGAAAAACAAGGAGGTTGAGAGGGTGTTATTGATATCTGTAATAAAACATCTTGTTATATTTTGGCACAGTTGAAGAGATCGAGGTCTTGCAGCAAAATGAAGTGAGAAGAAATATCTGCCAATGGAGACTAACCTTAATTCAAAAACAACTTTATTTCTCTGACCCCATTGGCAGATATTTGTTCTCATTTTAAGCACAAACTCACTTCATTTGAATAAAAAAATCTTAATATCTTCAGTAATTTTGCTTCTTCTCCAGTAAATGTATGTTGATGTAAGAATTTGTGCTGGAAACGAGACATAAATATTGAGCAAGAACACAATTTCTGAGCTGTAAAAGACTTTATTCTCAATATTCAGACTTTTGATCGGAAACTTTGATTTTGTCAAATCTCAGCCGAATCTGAGACGTATTTGAGGTCTCTTGTGAAACTGTGTTTTTCTCAGAAAGAACATCTCACAGCTTAAAGATCTCGCTCGTGTGTTGATTTAGTGTTTTGCTTTGAGGACACACACACACACACACACACACACACATGCTGCATGTTTTATTGAACCTGAGAGAATAGAAGAGATTGCAGGAGATGTTTTAGTCTCGTGGCTCTTCTGAAACTCCAGGGTGTGTGTTTTATTTAGTGTGTGTGTGTGTGTGTGTGTGTTATTCTGCT